AAGAGGTCGTTTTTGCTTTTTGTTGATACGTATAATTTCCATTTATAGAGGAAAACAAATAAGCACATCTTTGTGCAGAATATATTACTTTTAGATGTGGATGTAGGTATGTGTGTGTAGGTACTTTGTATGTATATGTCCATAAATAATGTTTTTTTTTATTCAGGACCAATTTTAAAGTGCGGTTTGTATCGTAAAAAGTTCCTGCTCCTAAAACTACATGGTATTTTCATATTAGTTTCTAGGAAATTCGCCACACCGGGTTACGAGTAGGTAACTTTCGGCGAAAACTAAATTTAATATTGAAACGTACCAGGTTCGCGAGCAAGTGTGAAAACTTTGCTTACGCTTCTCGACAGATGGACGGACGAATATGTAGAATAGAATTAAAAAAATATTTTTTACTTTGATTTAGGTACGTTACATTTTTCCAATCAAAGTTAAAAAATAAAGTGATACAGTAGTGGTCACAAGTTCACAACCAGATCCTCGATGAGGTGGAGGTAGAAATGTTGACGGAGACGATTGCAAACCTTGTCTAACATAATATAGGACTTAGGACACCTTCCAGTTAGGTGAAGAGACAATATTCACAAGCAACCGCGCGATTGTTAGATGTGAAGAGCTGAAGATCGAGCACAGCGGTGAATGAAGAAACCAAGTGAAGATTGGTAAACCAGGTAAAGGAAGGTGAACCAAGGAAGAAACTATGATGAAACCAGGTTAAGAAGCTGATATATATAATCTATTGTCTTTTATTACTTAGAACCTGGATGACCTAGTTTTGCTCGCTGCTTTTTTGAAGTCAACGGCGAAAAGATCGATTTATCGCCCCTAATTAAAAATCGTTGGAGCTGTTTCTGAGATCGTTGATATACCTATAATACACCGTTAAATTTTAGTCGTTTTAATCCCATGGACCTGTGGTTTAACTAACAGAATACTACTCATTACAAGCTTGTACTGCGGTGTACATAAAAAATAAATAAATTAGCAAATGATAAGATTATACTCGCAAAATGTATGAAACCAAAAGTTGCGCCACGAGATAGTTACCTACGTCGTCGTCGGTCGTTGCGTATCGGGCAGTGTAGGTACCTACACGGCCCGATCAAGCATAAGGTTATTGACTCGATCAACTTCGACTTTAAAAAAGCCTTCGACTTAGTCGATAATGACGTGTTGCTGAAGAAGTTGGCAGCTGTCGGATTCACTCCAAAACTGCTTAGCTTTTTTGCGCACTATATGAGAGATAGGCAGCAATATGTGGAGTATGCAGGATACCGAACGCAGCCATATTATACAAGATCTGGTGTAAGCCAGGGCAGCAATTTGGGTCCTTTGGAATTTATATTGATGGCAAACGACATGCCAGATGCCATAGAAGATGCTCAGTGTCTGTTGTTCGCGGACGACCTTAAATTATCTCTCCCTATTAGTAGCACGGAAGATTGTGAAAAATTGCAGAGAGATATTGACAGAGTCGTTCGTTGGAGCAAACAGAATCGGTTGCAGTTCAACGTGTCGAAGTGCGTTACGATTTCATTTTCTCGGGCACGCGCTCCTATTCAATATAAGTACACTGTGGATGGAGATGAGTTGGCCAGGGTAAAGACTGTGAGAGATTTGGGAGTTCATTTTACTACTGAGCTGACGTTTCGTGATCACATACTCAAAATCTGTAAAAAAGCATACAGGAACTTGGGGTTGGTTCTTCGAATAGCTAGAGGCTTTACAAATATAAAAGCTATTAGAGCGTTATATAATTCGTTAGTTAGGAGCCAACTAGAATGTAACGCAGTTATCTGGGCCCCACATGAGACTAAATATAGCCTCATGTTGGAGCGTGTACAAAATAAGTTTATTCGATTTATTTACATGAAGCTGTACGGGGTTTATCCTTTTTATCCGCTAATGTATCCTACCCTGTTTATCCTAGGTATGGTCGGATATAATGAACTGAGGGTCAGGAGGGAACTCACACTCGTAACCTATATCTTTTCGGTGGTTAGGGGGGTGATACATAATGCGGATATTTTAGCCAGGGTAGGGTTGTGTGTGCCGGACGAGTATGCGACGCGTCGGCGACGACCGCGCCTACTGGCGGTGCCGCGAGCGCGCACTAAGTTACTGAGCGACGCGCCTCTGACGCGCGCACTGCGCACACTCAACCTCATAGCTGAAGACGTTGATATGTTTTATTGCACTCTGAGTGAATTCACTAAAGTGGCACTTCGTAGCATTTGTTATGGTTAGTTAGTAAAAAATTTAGTTTGTAATTTAGATATAAGAGGCCTCAATATCGATTTGGATAAGTCTGTAAGGATATTGCTGGGAATAAAGTAAAATAAAAAAAAAAAAAAACTGATGTTTCCGTAGGTAAACAAATAAATTGATTCCAAATTTTCCTTCATACTTTTACGGGCTTAGGACCGACATAACTGTACTAACGGTTTGCATTATTTATTCACTCATGCGAGAATTGATTCGAGTTATTAAAAAAAAAAGTACTTTATTTTTTAATTTTATCTTTACAAATCGATAGTGTTTCATGGACCAGTTCGAACCTCCAAGGGATTAAAACGATTCAAATTTAACGGTGTATATATATATTATGGGTATATAATTATTGATATATAATATATATATATTATAGGTATATAAATAATTGCTCGTTTAAAGGTATTAGATAACATAAAGTTGAAGAGTTTGTTTTGAACGCCCTCAACTCTGGAACTACAGGTTTGATATGAATAATTCTTTTTGTATTGTGTCCATTTATTGATTAAATTCCAACAAATATATAACATCATGGTACGATCTATAGGGGCCAAGCAGTGGGTAAAGCTGCACCGGAATTAACCAGTGATTACTTATTACACAACATAACATTATGCGTTTTATCCCCAAAGAGGTGGGCAGAGCTGCACATTACGGCACTTAATGCCACTTAATGAATCTTAGGTAATAGGGGGTGAGACATATACCGAGCACAATTCCAGACTCCGTGCAACTACTGCGATATTCTTTTAAACCCATTAATACTTTGCTCGACCCAGGAATTGAACCCTAGACCCCTTGCCCGGCAGCCGCACTTGCGACCACACGGCCAACGAGGCAGTGATTACATATTATTATTTTGAAAAGACAATGAATCAGTAATTCAAACTATTAATTCTAGCAATCTATATATGTATGTGTATCACAAACCTCTATAAACTTCTATGTTTAAACCGACTAAGCAAACACGGCACTTGCTACTTTATTTGCATATAACTTAAAGGTAAATATTGTTTGTAGGTATACCGACTTACACTGCTGACTATACAGTATACATAGACCCTTGAAACTTCGCCAAGGTTGAAAGGGACTAGTTACTATTGTTTTAGGCCAGGTAATGGATACTTCACTTTATTATAAAGTTAATTTAATTATATTCTAAGTTGAGTTGCTCTGATTTCTGAAGGACAGTCAATATTTGTGTAAATATTAGGGTCTAGATGTTAGGATAATCTGTTTGTTGTTCGTTTGTTTTCTTTTGTTTTTATAGGTTTCTGTTTGTCTATATATAGAGGTATAAGAATGAAACCCGTTTCCCGTTGTCACGCCATAACTTGAGAACGGCTTAATCGATTTGGCTGATTTTTATTTTGTTGAGTTTGTTTGTTATTGTCAGAAGGTTCTTAGGATAGAAAAAAATCCTGAAATTCTTATGGGAACGGGAGAAAACGGGATTGCGCGTACAAAGTCGCGGGCAGAAGCTAGTTCAGAATTGATTAGAAGTAAATACATTTCGTTTAAAAAATGATGAAAAGCCTCATATAATAATGTATCTTGAAGGCAATTTCAGAAATATGTGTCCATATATCTACGTAGGTAGATAAGTAGGTATGAGTAACATTTATATACTTATATCAATCAATTAGTTAATTAAGTTTCTCTCTGGTAGTGCACGCGTATGTTCCACGTGCCATGTTTATGTAAGATACAGTATATGGCTGTACCAGGGAAGGGAAACACGTGGAAGTTTTTAGCATTTTTAAAAGGGTGGTATTTAATACTTTAACTGTAAATTCCCTTATTTCAATCAAAATATTCGAAATTACCACCAAAAATAATGAATTGCATACTAAATTTGCTCATCAAATAAATCAATTATACTATACTCTTAGATCTTTATAGCTTAACTGTTTTACTGTGACTATCTTTTAACTAAAAGTAAATCTAATAATTCTTCGAGTGCAACAAAATCTTAACCTTTTTTTTGACCCTGGGAAAATACTTTATGTATCATCCTCCCGTGGGGGGATGGGAGGGATATGTGGGACTCTCCCACTAAAAACCCAGGAGCACACCAGCGTCGCCATGTGAGGGGGATAATGCGGATGTAGGCGCCCCCGCGCCTACCACCCGCTATTCACCCCCGGGAGGGAGAAGGCGGTTGTATTGCCGTCTTCTCCTACTGAATCTGCGTCGTCGAAGCGCAGGGGCGAGGGTATCTTCCTCTCTCTCGCGCTCTGCTGCCTCCTTCTGCGATATTACGCATTCGCAGAAGGAGGCCACTGCCGCCCATGTTTTCAACAAAATCTTAACCTAACCTAACCTAACACATAATCTTAAGGTCGTGAAAAAAAAACAAAACCTAACCTAACCTGATATTCAACAATTTGTGTGTAAATCAGTATTTTTGTTTTACGGTCCATTTTTTTGATATGCAGTAGGTTATTAGTGGAGAAATTCGGTTTGTTTAAATTTTTAAATAGAGGTGCAGTAAAAAAATTCCTTTTTTAAAAAGATATTGCTTGTGACCTGAAACAAAGAAAGAAAGTTGCCAATTTCTAAATCCAAGAAGTTGCATTATGAAATCACTTGGCTTTTTTAAAGCCTATCAAAAATACTAGGTTTCGTTATTAGGTACCTAAAAATTATTAAATATTAAAAAACAGTGTCCTTCCTTCAGGCGGGCAATAAAAAGCACTGCAACAATTAATATTGTTTATTGTCAATTCATTAGTACATTCGAGTATAAAAACATTATTCTTATAATGGCAAAGTTATTTAAAAAGGACCTAAAGATGATTACATCAAAATCCTTTTTACCTTGTACCTGGTACTGGAATTTATTCCAAGCTAATCTTGGGTTGGATCCAGTCAAGGAATGAATAGACTCTGGTGTACACGTCTGGGTAGCCGCGGGCACAGGGCATGCCCCACGATACTATTCCAACCACCTTGCCGTCAGCTACTAAAGGGCCGCCGGAGTCACCCTGGAAAGATGGAGAAGATTATAACAATAAACATGTCCAAGTTCTTTTATTGAGTATAATACTGCCTTGTTGGCCGAGTGGTCGCAAGTGCGACTGCCGGGCAAGGGGTCTCGGGTTCGATTCCCGGATTGGGCAACCTATTACTGGGTTTTTAAAAATCTCAGTAGTAGTACGGAGTCTTGAAATGTGCCCGGTAGATGGCAATAGGCTCACCCCCTATTACATGGGACTCATAACATAAATAGTGAAAAGTGAGTGTTACATTGTATAGTGGCATTAAGTGCCGAAATGTGCACCTCTGCCTACCCCTTCAGGGATAAAAAGGCGTGATGTTATGATGTTATGTTACCTTTTTGCTAATGCTGTATCCTGTTCATTATCGTCATTAAGAATTTGTGACAGTCCAGTGCTGACACATGGGTTTTCGTCATAAAGAAGGTTTCACTATAACTTCACGTTCGACATGGGCAAAGGGTTGAAAATTTTGACTCAGCAACCGGCTGCCACTCAACGTGTAGCGGGTTTTTTTTATATTTTATGGTATATGCTGGTAAACGAGCAGACACCACCTGATAGTAAATAATTTTTGGCAATTGGGAATTTGAGGATTCCCACAATCCTCATGATTCGGATTCGGAGATTGGGGAGACTGGGGAGTGGGGGGGTGATGGTAAGCGATCAACGCCACCCATGGACACCTGCAACACAAGAAGAGTCACAGGTGCGTTGCCGGCCTTGTAAAAAGGAATACCCTCTTTCCTTGAAGGTTTGAAGGTTGTATCGATTCGGAAATACCGCCGACGACAGATCATTCCATAGTTTTGCTGTTCGAGGCAGAAAGCTACGAGAAAAACCACAAAGACTGAAACTATAACTAGACTTATATGTAATCTACTATATAAAAATGAGTAGAGATTTCCACGGTTTTGCATTCGTTGGAAAGGCTCCGTGAGGTTTATAGAAAAGAAAATTCAGGAAAACAAATTTTCTTCATCTTTTAATCACCAAATGAAATGTTACATAAAACGAAGCCATCTGGTAGCGAAACGGAGTTCGCCGGGTTTGCTAGTGTCGCTATATATAGGTTTATTTCTATACTAGTGAAGGTACTTAATTAAGAATCGGTTACAAAATGTATTAAGTATTCACCTTGTTCGAAAAATTCCCCAATCAGTGTGAATTAAATAGCAATTTGCAATAAATCAGAGCACACTCAATATGGACGTAATTCAAAATATTGTGTTAACATGCAAGGCGGGGCGGGACCCACCATAAATCATGTTTGAGATAACACCCCATAATAACATTTGCGAGCCGAACAGATGCGTTAATATTTGTATGACAGCTGTATTGCGATCGAATCCCGACCGAGTTAGGATAAGGAAACAATTTGTTTTGAATGGAAATATAAATAGGTTTTTGTATACTGTTGGTATTTAATGTGCGTCATATTCATTGGTTTAGAACCGTTTGTTATGGTACTCATGTACCATTTGAATATTTTTGGTTAGTAATTTTTACCCAACCGACTATGTTATGAACATTTTATGAGCGCCTAGCTTCACTGATGGACAGACTGACAGGCTATTATGTTATATTTATTGACGTTCCAAAAGTAAAAGTAAGTAAAGTAAGTATTTTGGTTTACATAATTGAAATAAATGCTTTTGGAGTTTGAGTTGCTATTTTCTGTCCTATATTTTAGATTATAATTAATAATATTCCATGAAATAGCATCAATTAGTTGCTGTAGCCAGAAACTATTTTTATAAACATGTTGTTCCAGGTATTTATTTATTAATAAACAAACTGTTTACTTGTAAATAAGATTTTATGATATCTCGATGGTAACTTATTATAAACATTTGAAATTACCAATATTATTGAGTTTAGTTGAGTTCAACAGCCTATAAATGCCCACTGCTGAGCAAAGCCTCATGTCACACGGAGAAGGTTTGAGCATCAATCGCCAACCCGCATGAAGCAAGCGTCATCACGCTTATGATTAGAAATTATAAGCCCATGTTAAGTGTCCATGTGTCTGGATAATCTTAGAAAGTACATATAACTCGGCAAAAGTCACATTGGTACTTGCCGTTGGTAGGTTTCGAACTCGTACCCTCATGCATGAGAAGCGGGCGTCTTTAGCCTACGGGCCACCGCGAAATAGTATTATTACATCTCTATAATTGTAATACTTACATGACAAGCTCCTTCTCCGGATTTGGTGAGCGAACAGATCTGTGAGCTGAAGACTGGGTTGATGTTCTGGTAGACACCCTGGCATTGTTCCACGCTCAGGGAAGTTAGGTTGATCATCTGCAGCTGCACGGGCAGCGAGCCAGGGTACTGAAATGCAAGGATGTTTTAGTCTGAAGGGAAAATGAAAATTACCTGTGTAATATTTCAAAGTCGATGAGACTTTTTTTCAATTGATCCACACATAGGCACCTTGTAAACGTCAAAATATTTAGTCCATCAGTTCCATCAGTCTGTCAGTCAGTAAAGCTAGGTGCTCATTCCAAAGTGTAGATTTGAACAGGCAAGTACGAACAAGAAACTCCATAGTTGCCAGATTGAAAATTGAAAATTTTACTATTAACTCTTTGTATTGCAACATAATATTTCAAGTTAACACAACCTTGCAATAGAAGTACTTTAATTAAACTACTAAGCAAACATCAAAGACAAGTAAAGCTTTCTAATACTTGACTCCTACAGCCATATAGTACCTACTAATATTCATAGGGTAGTAGACAGTGTATGAAAATTAAAAATGTAATGACTGCACGGTTGGTGCGGTGGCTGGGCAACCGGCTGCCGTGCAACGTGTCGCGGGTTCGATTCCCGCACGGAACAACACTTTGTGCGATCCACAAATTGTTGTTTCGGGTCTGGGTGTCATGTGTATGTGAACTTATATGTTTGTAAACGCACCCACGACACAGGAGGTAATCCTAGTGTGGGGCAACGTTTTAAAAAAAAAAAAAAAAAAATTAGTCGATAAGTCAGACAATGAAAAAATCGTCGTTATATCACGCTACCCTATAAAATGTAGTAAATTGTGACATCAAACGACATTCACATAAATATTTGGTGAAAAGCATTTAATTTTGTAAGAAAAGAAAAAAATATGTGTGTAATGTTTTAAGATAATTCACCAAACGAACATTTAAATAAATTTAGGATACTACCCTATTAACTCGTCGAGTACCGGTTTTGTAGACACAATTATAGAACAATAGGTTGCGGTCACCGGTGACCGCTTGGTGTTTGACAGTTTAAACTGCAACTCTGTAAGAAATATGTGTACCTACGTCAAAACAATAAAACCTACGTCAGAAAATAATTTCGCGCCCAAAGTTAACTTACTTTGATACAGTTAGTATGAAAACCATACTGTAATCAACATTCGAGGAAGAACGCCCACGAATTTCGAAAGCACGTACTCGTACATATATGCTGTATTCATTCCAGGAAAATTATATCACTGTGCACAGGGACGTATTTAGGAACTATTTATTATGGGCCGTATTTTTTATATATTTGATGGGCCTACGTTTGACCACTATCTCGCCTGGTGATAAGCGATAGAGCACGTCGTCCTATAAGCAACCTATTCACTCAGGGCTTGAAGACACCCAGGTTACACACTCTTTAGAAAATACAGACTCAGACAAATAATTCCATTACTTAGCAATACCAACAAGAGAGCTTGATGTGAAACGCTTCGTGCGTGTGGGTTGGACATCTACCATGAATCAGTGACGCTTCGCCGATTGTTTTGTGTTAGCATGATGGAAAGCATATAATAAGGATGCCGGTGGACGATCAGAGGTATCATGTAGAATAGCGCCACTAGACTACACCTGTAGGTCTACTCTGATTCGACGAAAAACGAAGTTTCGGACGAAACTTCGAACATTATCTGCCGCATTTATTACGAACGAAAAAGGAATGAAACAAGCCAGAAATTAGTATGAGATGTACTGTTTGACGTCGATATTTTCGGAACCCTACTCTAATTGTACAATCCGCACGAACGAAAATTCGAGTTTGACAGATTATTCTTCGGAATTTTAATGTCATTTCGACGAAACCAAAATAGTTATAGTTTGATTTTCGTTTGGGTTAAATTTATTGAATAATGAAGGAAAGTAATTATAAGTCTTCGTTTTGTCACGGTTTCTTTGTGTGGGCAACACGTAGGGCACCAAAGGAACTACTTAAATGATGATATAAATTCAATGTACAGTCAGCTCAAATAGTTTGTTAACATGAACCTATATATGAGAGTTAGTAACATTTAGGGTAATCAAATACTTATTTGAATACCTTATGTATTGAACATAAATGTTTCATGTGTAATGTTTTATTTTAAAACTAATAATACCGCTAGAAAAATTAACTTAAGTATTGCTAGTATATATTTTCGCTATTCTTTCACATCTATAATATACCAACATTTATAGATAAGATAAATTCTTTCAAAAATATATTGTTAATCATCATAACACGAAATAATTTAGTCTCCTCAAATTCTCATGTAGACATTTATAATTTTTAAACTGACTGTACTAATATAATACGAATAAATTTGGTTGTCATCATTTTATACATAAATGTCAATACATGACAATAAAACAACATTCGAAAACTTTTTAATTTGGTCGTATAATAAATTTTTGAAAGGAGGTTGTTATCCTGTTTAAGATTTTTCATCTTAAACGTTAATATTAAAAGATTATTCATGATTTTCTTGATGATTATGTGTTCTAAGCCATGGCATTATGATTTTAGTAATATAATTATTTAAAATAAAATTTTAAATTTAATTTCGAATCTAAACCTACTTATTGCCTATTTATTTATCTTCACTTCATTCGTTCATTGTAGTTCACGAAAGTTGTCTATGGTTCCGAAAACAATGTTTGCCGCCGCAAATCAAACGAAACTTCGCATTCGAGAACCGGAGTAGACCTCCAGTACATTCTAATGTCAAGTGTCATTTAATTTTATTTATTTCACGCAACAAATAAAACAAAATACAATTTAATGCAAAGAATAGTTACACGAAAAGATACATAAGTATGATTTATGTTACCGGTTTAACTAGAAGTAAATGTAGGTATAACGTAGTATAATTCAGTAAGTATAATAAAGACAAATTAGTTTCTACAATGAGATCATAAGTGATTTATCTCTAGAGAGAAAGCGGAGGTTTATAGCCTACAATGTCTACAGCTTCATTTCGTCAGCTTATTAATTCAGGTAATAAACTGTGAGTTTAAAGCTGTATTTGTCTAGATTTAACACAAATTAAACCTACTGACAAAGCTTTTTGATTCGGTACCGTATTAGGTACAGGTACAGGTAAATCATATTTGATTTTAAACCTTAAACTCCAGGCTAATACATATCACGCTACGGTACGTATCTTGTAAGCTCTTGGTGATCTAACTGCAATTCCTAAATCGCCTGCAAAGCATGGAGATTATAGCAACCTTTAGGTCTCAAGAGAAGGCCTTTGTTCCTTAGAATATGACAAAAAATAAACTAGAAATATTACAAAGTGAATTTTAAGAAGTCTTGTACTATTGGGTAGAGACTTTTTCCTTCTCCACTCATGGACCAGTAGGTCTCAACCTACTGCTTAACTCGAATCCTTAACTTTATGAAGATATTCAAGAAAAGTAAACTATAATATTGTTGTTCTAAATCGCAGTCTCGCGCACGCGTCCGTACTGTAAGGATGCATTTTTATCGAACGACATTTGTGTGACGGAATACATATTTAATAAAGGCAAAATGACGACAGTGGTTAAATGTATTTCCTGTAACGTAGTAATAGACGAGTTATTAGCGTATATACAAAATAAAATTTCAATAATTGATGAAGATACGTTAGTGCGGGTATGTGCATCGACGTTTACAAGTGAAGATATTGAAAAATCAAAAACACTTTTGTACGAATCTGTTCCCGTGGAAAAGGCGAAAATAAGAAGGAAAAATAAAGGAAAGGAGCAACGAGACCTAGTGGACATAATTAGTGTTTTTAAATCTGTGGAGCCGGATGAATTCCCAATTTTTGTGGCTCGGGACTTAGATAAACTACCTCCAATATTATTTGATCATCTCGATTGCACTAAACTGTTAAAGGATTTACTTCGTATGCAAAATGAAGTTAAAGAAATTAAAGAAGCATGTGTAACGCAGACACAACTGCAAGATTTTAAAGTGGAGATTTTGAAACTACAAAATGACTCCTTAATACCAGCATCTTTGCGTAACAGGAACTTGAACAGAAGCGGTTGGCCTACAGAAAGTGGCCCGATTGGTTTAAGTCATGTCGATGTATCACCAGTTCGTAGGGGTGGAAGTGAGACCATCGAATCTCCATTGCAAATACGAGAGGATAGTGAACAATCTATCATTAAAACAAAGGAGGTAGACGCAGAAGTTGTAGTTCGCGGTATGCAGCCCGATGTGTGGTCGCGACGAGTGGTTGAGGGCGGGGAGCGAGCGCGCGGGGGCGCCGTGGAGGCCTCAGTCAGCTGTGCTGATAACGTTAGATCAACTACTTTGTTGCGGAAGGTCGACAGGTCCGTGACGTCACCGCAGCAACGTACAGTAGTGCGGGCGACAGCGACTACGATACCGACGGAGCCCATTGTACTTGAATCAGCGCGAAACAATAATAAATCAGATAATATTAACGAATGGGAAAAAGTTTCATATCGTAAAAAACGTAATATGAGATATCGATACATGGGAAGCACGGGTACCGCCAGGGAAAACGAATGTAAATTCAAAGCTGCAATAAAAACAGTACCGATTTTCATTACGAAGGTACATAAAGACACCTCGCAAAAAGATATTGTTGATTATATCTTTCACAAGACGGGCGAAGTGATCTCGCTTGAAGGTATATCTTTTAAATATCCCAAAGAATATAGTGCATATAAATTCTTTGTCTCTGAAACTAAGGTGGAGATGTTTCTTGACGATAAGTTATGGCCAGAGGGAATTATTTTTCGGAGGTTTATGCATTTTAAGATTAGAAATAACTCGAGCGGTGCAAGCGGCAGTGCTGTTATCGGCGTAAAGTAAACAACTATGTATAAGTTGTTAAGCTATAACTGCAAAAGTGTAAAACGTTCTGTAGAATGTATCAGGCAATTGTGTCGCAAGGTGGACATAATAGCCCTGCAAGAAACGTGGTTACTACCCCATGACATTTCATTCCTGGGCGATATAGATGAGGACTTCGCGTGCACTGGGACGTCGGCGGTGGACACCGCGTCCGGTATGCTGCGAGGGCGGCCATACGGTGGGGTTGCACTGTTGTG